TTTTTGCTAGAAAGTTACTTTAAGCCCCTAATCAATTATATATTTTATGAAAAGAGATGTATTGAATATCAAAGAGTAACAGTTGCAATTATTTATGTCACACAACATTTGCGCAACTGTTTATCAAATATATAGTTTTATAGAAAAAATACACTAATATGAATTTTAGTACACATAAACATGATAAAATACAGATTTTGGCAAAATATGAGCTTGTGTGGAGTAAATAGATACTAAACATGTCAAGACATAAAGTGGCTGCAAAGCCTGAAGCTTTTTTAACTTAAAAAAAAAACTTCTCTGTGCAGCATCTCCCCCAATACTCACCTAAGCCCCCTGTCGGCTATCCCAGGACTCACTCTCCTTATTGGTTGAGACAGCAGTCATTGGCTCAACCGCAGCCAGTGAGCCAATGAAAAGAAAGAGGGGGCGTGACCGAGACGCAGCTCCATGTATGAATGGACACACGGAGCAGCGGCTGGGAAGTGTGCATGCTTGGGTGCCCCCATAGCAAACTGCCAAGAGCACCTGCGGGGGACAAGAAGAGGAGGATCCAAGCTTCTCTGTGCAAAACCACTGCACACAGCAGGTAAGTGTGACATTTATGTTGTATTTTTTCAAATTTAAGCCTTTAGAATCACTTTACAATTGTGTGTGCCCGTAAAATGTAGTGTGTGCCCATAAAACTACTCCATAGGTGATTGGGAAATTGCAAATGACATATTTCCTTATTAATGTTGGCCCTACAAATGCTTAAGAATGCCTCCAAGCCTTGGTTAAAGGACAAAGTCTGATTACCTTAAGACACAAGGGAATGTGTCTCTATGGACAAGCTAGCCCCCATCTCCATTCAGGAATGTGCCATTTTCCTTAGAAACTCATCAGGTTGTTTGCAAGGGAGGTGGGTTGTTGATTACTTACACACAAGTTCAGTTTATAACACACAGCTAAACTGGAAATATTTGTCTCGTGTCAGAGCTGCGTTAAGCATGCATCTGTGGTCACCTGTGTGCCATGCCATATAACTGGAGGGACCCATGGCAGAAACAGCATCTTTAGCTAAGTATTCTTGTTATCTTTACTTTATATGTATCTGTATCTGTCATTACTTGCAATAAATGTTATACTTATAAGTATTTGTGTGATCTCTCTTTGCATACAGTTAGGCCCATATATATTTGGACACAAATTTTAGATTTTTTTTCAGGTATTTAACTACTATCATAAAACTTCCAAAATATTGCAGTGACTTTGTGCATGGGATTTGAGAACTTCCACTATACCACTTTGTGAACCTCAAAGATACCAGCCAGCTTTTATTAAAATAATCTACAAACGAGTGTATTTATTTGACTGAGAAAAGCCTCCAAAATATTGCAGTGGCTACTTGTACAGTACTTAAGTACTTTCACTAGGCTGCCTTTTGAACAGGACAAACACCATTCAGCTTTTATCACAAAATTAACAACAATAGCAATCAACAACAGAGTGTATTTATGTCACTTAAGAAAAAGCCTTTAGCATATTGTAGTGATGAATAACAGTCCTGTGCTGATTTTCAAAAAGAAAAAAAAAAAAAGGTTTTGAACACTTAGGCTTTAAAAAAATGAACCATAGAAATTCATGACCAAATTTTTTATATACTGTATTTGAGAAAACAAATGATTTATACTGCAAGATGGATTTTGGTTTGACTCTTGTGCCTTCCTTTTTATTTACACTGCATGATGGATTTGTGGTTTGAGTCTTGTGGCGTATTATGTGTATAAACTATTTTAATGGCTGGTAAGTTAATAGTTTAAAGGCCTAGGAATTTTAAAATTTACACATAAATTTATTTGTTAAGCTATGAATCTGTGCAATATCTTATTATATAATATGTAATAATCATGTTTATTGATTGTTCCATTCATTAACACCTCTGTATTCCTGATGAAGCTTCCCGCAAAAACTCGTTGAGTTTTGATTTGGTCTGTATTCAAGTATGTGAAAAAGCTGAAAAGTGAAGTGAACTGTGTAAGATATACAATAAAATTGAAAATTAATGGTTTTGGTCATCAGAGGTTTTTGTTCTATTCTATTGGATATACTACATTGTAAATTTATGTTATCACACAATTTTATTAATATCTAAAATAAATAAACCTTTTTTTATATAATACATTTGTGTTGCTGATTACGTAATGGCATCAAGAAAGTCCCCTGTATATGTTTTTTTTAATCAGTTTTTTATTTAAAGAAATCCCTCTATAATTTATAAAATAGAGAAAAAGCTTGCCCAAATTATTTATTTTCACGTGCACTGTATAATCATTTCCTATACAATGACTCAGTGACCTGCATTTATTACATTTTCATAGGCTTCATTCACGACCTAATTTCTCTTCATTGACTTTATTTATATTTACTTAATATATATTTAACATTCTTTAATGTATGCCTTAAATTTCCCTAATTAATGTATGATTTACATTGTCTTAATTTACACCTTGTTTAATTGTGACCCTTTGCCAAGGTATGCCTCGTAATACTGTATCTTAGCATAAAGCTGCCATTAACCTCAGGGCTGTATCTAATATTGATTGGACCCTGGGCAAACATTTTCTTGCCACCCCCCCCCCCCCCCATGCAATTTCACTCTCCAACTTCTCTGAGATACAAAAAATAGCAGCTAAACTCAAAATCAGTTTTTGCAGCAGATCAGGCAGCAATTGCGAATGGTTGCCAGAGGTTACACATCCTTAGTGCTTACTGGTTGGTTGCTAGAGTTTACAACACTCACTACTGCTCACCGATTAGTTGCTAGAAGTTACTGCACATCTCATTACTGCTCACTGGTTGCTATAGGTTACAGCACATCATTACCGCTTACTGATTGGTTGCTAGAGGTTGCTGCACATCATTATCGCTCACTGATTGATAAACTCTGCACCCCAAACCTCCCCCAACCTCTCCACTCCAGCACCCCCCACCTTAACTATACATGCCTGCTCATCTATGCACTTCCCTTCCTTACCTTTGTACATCCCCTCCTTGCTCACTTGTGCACCCCTAACTGTAATTAATTATCTGCCTACCTCTGCACACCCCACCTGCATCACTTTGCTTAGCTTTGCAGAACAGGCTTATGGTAGGCTTAGTGGCCACAGTTGTAGGCAGGACTGTAATGCATGTCCCTGTTTACCTCCCCAGTGGGCAGCATACGGCAGAGGTGATGGTGGATGGAACCTCAGGGGGGCATAATACACCTGGATGTTGTTGCTATTTACATTTGAATACTGATGTGATCTAAGTCATCTGTACAGTGCAACAGGGCAGAGCTGGACAGTATATGTGACAGTACTTCACACTGAGATATCGGGACACAGCGCAAGAGGAAGACTTCAAGGGACAAGGGTATGTAAACTAGGACAATTGGCAAATATTGGGCAGCTGCTTTGGGCCCCACAAAAATGACCGAGCCCAGGGCAGCTGCTCCGTTTGCCCTGCCTTAAAGACGGCCCTGAATAACTTAGACAATTCAGATTGAGCATGTGATAAAAAATATATATAAACAGACATTATTTTCAGTAAAAACTGGTTGCCAAAATGATAATTATATTCAGAGAATAAGGGCAACTTAGGTTTTAGGCAAGGCTTGAGTTTGGCCTGTGCTCTATGTACTGTATGTACTTTATTTAATTTCCTATCTTTTTGGTCTTATGTTTTCTGTATGAGAGGTATCCACATGAGAGTTTTTGGACAGTGGCAGTTGCCAACATGTTTTTGCAAACCCCATACACATCTCAATTTTGCTAATTACTCTGTGCATGCATGTACCCTAATTTGAATGTGTATGTGCCAACAAAGCAGCAGATTGTCAGAATTCCCTTTAGTGTTCAAACTGATATTTGGGCACTGAGCCACATGGGATTGCAGGACAACAATGATGCCACTATCAAATTCTAGATTTACTTCACCACCCACCTGGCATTTTGGGTTTCTGAGATACCTTTCACACTTGTTTGGTTGTTTAGATGGAATATTTCTATGTATACATTTCATTTTTGAATGTAGCATTGTATTTTTATTAGGCATGATTATGTCATTATGACATCACTGGGGGTGGGTATTTGGTTCTGCACGTTCACTTTTGTATATTACATGATATATATATATATATATATATATATATATATATATATATATATGTAAAAGTTATATGTGTTGGCTTATTTGACTAATGTGACATTGCACTAATAAATGAGTGTATGTGTTTGGAACAGAGTGCTACATAGTTACATATTTAGTCTGGCTGAAAAAAAAGACAAAAGTCCATGCAGTTCAACCATAGAAAAAAAAGTTATAATCCTACACCCACAGCTGATCCAGAGGAAGGCAAAAAACCCCCAGCAAAGCATGATCCAATTGGTCCTGCAGGGAAAAAAATTCCTTCCTAATCCCCCAAGAGGCAATCGGATATTCCCTAGATCATCTTGTGCTGGTGACATCTCTTCATTATACTATCACATTAGGCCAAGCACTGAGACACCCACCACATATATCACTACTAAACCTTTCCAATGCAGCAGTCCAACACCCAGATCTATTCTTGATTTCTTTTATGCTTTAAAAAAGAGCATTTCTAAGATGACAATCCCTTTAACCAAGAAAAGAAAGATGGAACAGGTCTTTGGTTATTGCTGGATGCACTGAATATAAAGAAGCTGTAAGTAAGGAGTCCATTCTGGGAGATTGGGAGATATTTAAAGTGGCAGTAGACTTTCCATTGTTTTAAGAGATCCATTCTGCAGGGTGAATACAGTACATATGAAGGGGGGAAGGCATGCTGGTGAGATAAGCCAAAATGTTTTTAACTTAATCATTGCTTAATATAATGGGGACCACTTTTTAGAGTGCAGTTTTTATGTGAGTAAATTTGTGGCATATCTATCCAATATTTGGGGTCATACTGTGTGTATATATATATATATATATATATATATATATATATATATCAGGGGCGGACTGACCATTTGGAAACTCGGGCACTGCCCGAGGGCCCGGGGTCAGTAGGGGGCCCCATGAGATGCCCCTGGTACCTTTTTCATAGGCTTTTTTGAGTTTGGGCAAGGACACAGGGGCCCCATGATCTCCTATTGCTCGGGGGCCCCATGAGTTGTCAGTCCGCCCCTGATATATATATATAATTTTAGAAATATGTTTGCATGCACAGGTTGTCTTGGATCACAGAATGCATTGGAGATGAAAACTATATGAGTGGATGGAAGATAACTGTTGGAACATATACTCATAATGCTTGCGCACATGTGGACAAAGCGGCAAATCTAGTTCTACTGGAGATGGACTTGTAACCTTGGAGATTGATTGATATTTCTGCCACAATTTTGGTTCTCAATAAGCAGTATTTGCTTAAAGGTTAAGTTCACTTTTTTTGCCAGCTCCCCTATGCACCAACATACCATTATTGTACCTCAGTTGCAAAAATATACATCCTCTCTTTGATCTGGAGAGCAAGGCCTTACCTTAGCCTTTCATAAATTTCTTAGAAAGCTTTTTCATTTCCTGGAATGTAGATAGAGAACAGGGAAGCCAGTAGGACCCCAGAAGCAGATTACCAGCTGATCTCATTAGCATACACATCTTGCACTGACCTCATTAGTACACACCCTTCACCCATCAACTACATTTTACAGCATCCTCCGGATCTCTCCCTACATGCATTTGCCTAGCTACCCCAGCGTCCCTTCGGACGGGCTTAGGCTGCATGCAGCACATGAGACACCCCTGAAGTAATGCAAGAGCCTGCTTGATTGGATATAAAGTGATTGGATAGATGCTGTGTCCTCATATTAGATAGTTATGGTAAACCTAAAGTAGATTGTACAGTGATTGTACAATCAGGTTGTATAGTGTATGACCACATTTGTACACCTAAAATTAAGTAGTTGCGCTTTCAGTGTCATTAATTGTTAACGGCACACCAAACACAGGAACAAGCACACATTTTGCTACATGAAAAAAAACAGGTGACAAATGCAGCAAATCGTACAGTAAAAAAACGTGCAAAATGCATCACTCTAAAATGTCCCTTGAGCTACTTTGCCACATGTAGCGCAGCCCATTGAAAGCAACAGGCTGTTCTATGTGTGTCACTGGAAACAAAAGCCAAAAAATATGCGCTCCCTCCACTCTTGGTGTGAATGGGGCCTGAAAGTGAAATTGATGCGTTTAGACAGAACAGTGAGGCTTCATTCACATTTGTGTGTTTCCGAATGCATGGCAATCTGCACAGAAAATGCATGCTTTGCCATTCGTTTCAGAAACATGCTGTAAATGTGCATCGTGTTAAAGGCACCCCAAGTGCGGCAAACACACCAAAAACTGCGGTAACGCACCGTGCTCTACTCCAAAAAAAGTTCTGGAGCTTTTCTGGGGTGATTGTTGCGAGTAGGGCAGACCGTTCAAGTGAATGGGCTGCCCTATGCGTGACGAGTTTAAACGCTCCAAAACACCCAAAACAAACGCATGCGATAGTGTGAGTCTTCACTAAAGTTCAAAGTGCATTGGGATGGCTGGGCCACAAATGGCATAGAAAATGCTTGTATTTTTTATGAAAAGTTCAATTCTGCCCGAAAAGGTGAAGTTATCCTTTAAAGGGCCATACAATAGGGTTATCATATTCCCATAGGTGTAGAGGATGGTCTACATTTTTTGATATGTTTAGGGATTTTGGCACAATATCAAGAGTTTTTGATGTTTGTGGATGCAAACTTAAGCAGGCCATACATGGGTCAAATTCCGAAAATCAAAAATGTTTGTTCTGTAATCCGATGGTGCCACCAATGATTTTGAAAATCGGTCATTTTTCACAAATTTTCCAACATGCCCGATATACGAAATGGGAAGGAACCATGAAAATCGGCCGGTGCCATTGCCCCACTAACAGAGCGTAAATCGGTCGATTATCCTTAGGTCTGATTTTCTAACGGAAAATCGTTCGGAAATCGACCCATGTATGGCTGGCCAAAAAAGGTTTCATAGAATTTTTTTTGGAAATGTTCTTGGGAAGAGCACTGATAGATTGTTTCCATTATTACACAATTTTATACTGGGACTGCATTATATTTTTTTTTTCTTGTTTATTTGTATTTTTTCTTTTATTTGTAATTCATAGTTCACATTTGTGTTTACATCTTCTGCAGGTTTATTAGAGAGCACTGCACTTAAAGTTGGATTGTTTTCTTGGTTTGTGTATGTGATTCACAATTAGTGCAAGCTGCTAGATGAGGGGCTAATTGAATTTTAGCTGCACTGGAACATTTAAATGTATTAATAATTATGCAGCAGTAACAAGAAAACACATAACACTTTTAAAAAATAATTGTATTTATTTATGTATGGACAGCTACCACTGTAAAACTAAAACATCCTATTGTAAGTCTTGGAGAGCTCAAATGCTGAATCTAAAACCCACTGAAATCAATAGGATTTGAATATTACAAATGATTAATGGACATTTTCTGGGCTAATAGGCAACTTATTGTCAAACAAATGGCATGGGGGATCTGTCCCAATGCAAAAAAATAAAAAAAAAATTAAGGGAACAGTGTTTTAAATAATGTTTAAAAGGAAATAATAAAAATGCACAACTCATTCAAAAAATAAAATAAACTGGTTAGGGGATGTCCTGGACCTGTCTGTGATGCTATGAAGTATACAATCTACTAAAGCAAAAGTGACATTTACAGAAGCAAGATTCTATTTAAATTTAAATCACTGACAGCCTGTTTTTGTTTTCAACAGGATGGGAACCCCTACAAAATACATGCTAGACCTTATAGTCTGTCTGCAAATTGTGTTTTTTCTTGGTAAAATGTCCTTTTTTCTGTAAGACATCCTGCAGCAAAAATGACAAAAAAACATTTTGGGGTCCCTCCCCAAATCCATACCAGAACCCTTATTCTTGATGAGAGTCTGCTATTTATTTTAAGGGGGAGACAGCACAAAAAATGGCAAATTTCAAAACCTTTCAAACAATCAGGAAGCTTAGCTTGCCAGGAAAGGTGGGGCTTATAGTCCACATATCCTCAACATGGGGAGAGTATCCTGCCAGGACAGGGACATCTCATATTGATGAGGACAAGGTTCTCTTCCTCACAACCCTGGCCCAGTGGTTGTGGGGTCTGGGGGCAGGGGGGCTTATTGAAATCTGTAAGCCCACTTTAAAATAAAGGGGCTCCCAGATGTCCAGGCCCCCAATATGACTCATTTAAAAAAAATGTTAACAGTAAATAAAGACACACATGCTTTAACACGTCTTTTGTTTAACCACTTAAGCCCCTTCTGAAATTCTTCTACTACATGTAAAGGTCAGCATTTTTTGCTAGAAAATTACCTAGAACCACCAAACATATATATATAAGATTTTTTTTATTTTATAGCAGAGGTCCTAGAAAGTAAAATGGTGGGTGTTGCAAATTTTTAAGTCACGTGGTATTTACGCAGTTGTTTGGGAAAAATATAAAAGATGATGTTACGCCGAGTAAATAGATACCTAATATGTCACACCTTTTTGTGCGTGCTCGTGGAATGGCTACAAATTACGGTGCATTAAATTATCCATAGGCTACGATTTAAAAGCCTTTTACCAGTTTGGAGTTAAAACAGGAGATCTGGTGATAGAATTATTACTCTACCTATAGCATTTGCAGTGATACCACACATGTGTGATGGGAACACTGTTTACATACATGTGCGCTAACTATGTATGTGTTCGCCTTTGCACGTGAGCATGGGAAGAGGAGGGCACTTTAAATTTTTTTACATTTCATTTACTTTTTATTTTTGCTGTCTTTTTAATTGTTTTTGATCACTTGTGATAGCTGGAGCAGTGACAGGTCCTCTTTATGGAGAAATCTGAAGTCTATAGACCTCAGATCTCTTCTCTGCCCTTCAAAGCATCAGGTCAAACCCCATCCTGGCAAAACCAGAAGTGACAAAATACTTGTTGCTTCTGGTTTCTTAGACTATAGAGATGATTAGGGACATTCTGGTGGGACGGGAGAGCTCGGAAGGCAGCGGAAGGAGGCAGGACTTGGAGGAGCCCCCCTTATTGCCACCTGTAACAGCGATCCAGCTGCTAATTAACTGCTAGGATTGCTTTTTCATTAAACAGCATTGCCAGCTAAAAAAAAGATACAGGGATGATGCCTGTAGCTTCAGGCATCATAACAGTATAACCACTTCAACCTGACAACATATGGGAGGCTGAAGTGGTTAAAAAAAAACACAAATTCTCACAATATAAATTCTTTGTCAATCACCTGATCCAGTAATGAAGATCCTTTTCACTCTTGATGAATGGCACCCGAAGCCCACAGAAACAAAAAATGCACTAACCCCCAACACTTCTGGTCCAGCATTGCACTGCTGATGGGCGACAGCTACAGGCAGAGTGATGTACCTGTACGTAGCTCTGCTTCTCCAGGGTTGGAGCACGAATGCGCTCTCTTCCCCGCTCACCCCCCCACCATTCGCTGCAGAAAATGTTTGTAAGCAGGTCCCAGCCAATGATTTTTGACTCTGCTGATCTCCTGTAATGAATAGAGAAGCAGAGATCTAGCTGGATTTTCTCTACCTGGAACTTTTTCATTCTTTTTCTACCTGGAACTTTTTTGTGAGTAAAAGCAGCAAATTTGCAACCACACATTAGTTAGACACATTTTAACCCCTTGATTGCCATTTTTAACCCTTTGATCACCCCTGTCACCCTGCCAGGGCCATTAGTACAGTGTCAGTGTATAGTATTTTTCAATGATCATTGTATTACTGCCACTAGCGACATCAGATAGCATCAGGGTCAGTTAGCTCCCCTCCCAGCCAGGGTCAACTAGCGTTAGATTGCGTGCACACTATCGCACTCACGATAAAAGTTGCTGATCACTGCCATTACCAGTATAGTGTTTGTATGCATCAATATATTGATCATGATCAGGACTATACTAGTGCCCCCTTAGTATTAGTGTCCCCAAAAATGCAGTGTTAGCAGGATCAGCCCCATTCGCTGTCAGCACTTGTGTTTATCACCCCACCCCCCACCTCCAACAAGAATTCCAGTGTCAGTGTAATTTCTGATCACTGTCACCTGTGATACA